AATTAGCCTGTTGTAAATAGGAAAGTCACTGCCAAATTAATTAGTCTATCGTAAATAGGGAGGTCACTGCCAGAATAATTAGTCAGTCGTAAATAGGAAAGTCACTGTCAGATTAATTAGTCTGTCGCAAATAGGAAAGTCACTGCCAGATTAATTAGTCTGTCATAAATAGGGAGGTCACTGCCAGATTAATTAATCTGTCATAAATAGGGATGTTACTGTCAGATCAATTAGTCTGTCGCAAATAGGAAAGTCACTGCCAGATTAATTTGTCTGTCATAAATAGGGAGGTTACTGCCAGATTAATTAGTCTGTCGTAAAAAGGAAGGTCACTGCCAGATTAATTTGTCTGTCATAAATAGGGAGGTTACTGTCAGATCAATTAGTCTGTCATAAATAGGGAGGTTACTGTCAGATCAATTAATCTGTCATAAATAGGGAGGTTACTGTCAGATCAATTAGTCTGTCATAAATAGAGATGTCATTACCAGGTCGATTATCCAACTGTAAATAGGGAGGTCACTGCCAGGCCAATTTGTTTGTCGTAAATATAGAGGTCACTGTCAGATCAATCAGCCTGCTGTAAATATGGAGGTCAGTGTCAGGTCGTTCTTCCTGTCGGCTTAAAAATGACTATCCAAGTTCTGTGTATGTGCAAGTTAAAACCTCACTGTTTTTAACTTCTGTCAACTGTTTACGAACAACAAAACGAAAATCTCTAGCTTAATAAACATGTTTCTTTACTCTACAACAATCATGATTGAATAAGATATAAGTTATGCTATTGTTTTGTTATTCAACGAGTTAGTTTTTCTTCGTGAAACGTTTAAGTCTAGAAAGGAAAAACTTGACAAATCTTATAAGCCACGAGAGAAACTGATTTTGTTTATTTTCCTAAGTCTTGTTGAGATATCTCCTGGAGGTGTTTGATCATAGGAACAGCAGTTCCGGCCGAACTGTGACGAAGACTTCCTTTTCACGAGCTGTAGATGACAAGACATAAAAGCCTTAAAGGCTTACACTTTTAGTTAGCTGACGAGGTTACAATATATCTAACTAAAACATTTTATGAAACAATGTTTTTTGATTTGTATCATTTATTTGAATTAGCTATTATCCACATTGTTTTTCAGTGCTTTGTTGTAAACATTCTTACAACGATGCAAGACGTATGGTGGAGAGTATTGTATTATATTAGAGAAGCGGTTTCTATATATCATAATTTTGTCATTAAAACATTAGATTTCGAAATTATTTTCTAAAGTTTTATTTTGTTTGAAAACGAAAAATTAAGGGATTGCTTTTCTAACCAGTTAATTGATTTAATGGATGCTTTAAAAATTATATATTTTTGTATCATTCAAAAATATTTTCAACTTTTTTGAGATCTCATTTTGAATAATAACGAAATGATTCCTTATTTTACTTCGAACGCATTAAAACCACAATGACTGAAATGTCAAAACCTCAACGTCATGAGAGAAGTCATTCGTGTTATGAAAGTCAATAAATTATTATGAAAGTATATAAAAAAAACTATGTTTAAGAATCCCACTTTCAGCACAGAAATAAAATAATAGGAGTCAGTTAAGCTTTCTTGTTTGTTCCACGAATATAACTATTTAATATTTAAATATCTTATTAAATTAAAACACTAGATAGTAATTGACTAACAAAGACAAAAGAAAATAGATTTTTTATTTGATTTTATACAAAATACTCCGATATAATTTTAAAATTTATATCATCTTTTTTTCTATTATCATATTATTAAAACTACTATTATATTTAATATTTTGATATCGTCATCAAAACTACCACTATTAAATTTAATATCATAGTGTATGAAATTATAATATGTTCAATATTATATTGTGTAAAACGTGACTTTTAATATTATAATGTGTAAAACTAGTAAAATGTTTAATATAATCGTTTAATACTACTGTTTATTACACTTAAAATATATTGTGTGAAACTTCTATTATGTTTAATGTATTGTTTAAAACTATAATATGTTCAATATCATATTGTGTGAAACTTCTATTATGTTTAATATATTGTTTGAAACTATATGTTCAATATCATATTGTGAGAAACTTATGTTATGTTTAATACATTGTTTAAAACTACAATATGTTCAATATCATATTGTGTGAAACCTCTATTATGTTTAATATATTGTTTAAAACTATAATATGTTCAATATCATATTGTGTGAAACTTCTATTATGTTTAATACATTGTTTAAAACTATAATATGTTCAATATCATATTGTGTGAAACTTCTGTTATGTTTAATATATTGTTTAAAACTATAATATGTTCAATATCCTATTGTGTGAAACTTCTGTCACGTATATATCATACAGTGTAAGACTATTATTAAGTTTAATATCATTTCAACGATTAAGAAGTTGTAGAAACGTGTATTTTCAAAGCTTTACGTTTTAATTTGTCAAAGAAATTCATTATATTTGATTTGTTTACTCCGTTCTTAGAATGAAAAGTTTCATCGTGCGCGAGATTGTAACGGACATCAAGTAGCGAAATGATTGGTAAACAATCAAGACACGAAGTCCGTTCGTGTTCAATATACACACCACTGAGAATACTGTTATTTGTATTTGTACCAGTCCAAAAAGTAAACAGTAGTTGGTAATATGTCTCTTATAAAACATGTTAAATAAAGAAAACATTAGCTAATTTTTGTTCTACAAGAACCAATATAGATTTTTAAACAAATTGTTAACTCCTCCTACAATTCAAGAGACATTAATTCCATGTGTATTGTTCTTGTGTGTACTAGTCAAATACCCCAAAACGTTCTTCGACTAATGTGTTGGAACATTTCTACGAGGACTATTGGTCAATTTCAAAATTACAGCCTAAGGTTTTAATATACTGACAACACTAGCTATTCCCTCGTAAAACACATTTCATTTCTCAGTGGTGGATCGAAATGTGATCAATGAGAAGCATTATTATTTCAGATTTTCCTGACAAAGCTACACAAAAGTGTCTACGCATAACCGTTCTTAATTTTGAATTGATTGATTACAAGGAAAACATTTAATCAGCAGCACCAACCGTCCACCCTTGGGCTACTTGAGTTATCTACCCGAATAGTTGGATATGACCATCACTATTATAGAGGATCGACGGTCCCAAAGCGCGGAGCGTGTTTTCGTGTAAATGAGGCTCGAACCATGTACCCTTGGATTAATAGCTCGGACATGGCGACCAGTAGGACACGATCAGCACAATAATTGCTTAAATTTACGAGATACCTTTTCTAAGTCTTGAGGCAATAGCATAACTTTTCAGGAGTTTTAGATTTGAATAATGAAACGAAAAATGGAAATGAATAACCATTATACCGACATGAAGTATAAATGAAAGAAGAAATAGTTTTACATTTTTACTGTAGAAATGAATAATGTAGAACCAGAATTAATTTTATAGCCAAGAGAGTAACGTTGTGGCACAGTTTTACTGTAGAAATGAATAATGTAGAACCAGAATTAATTTTATAGCCAAGAGAGTAACGTTGTGGCACAGTTTTACTGTAGAAATGAATAATGTAGAACCAGAATTAATTTTATAGCCAAGAGAATAACGTTGTGGCACAGTTTTACTGTAGAAATGAATAATGTAGAACCAGAATTAATTTTATAGCCAAGAGAGTAACGTTGTGGCACAGTTTTACTGTAGAGATGAATAATGTAGAACCAGAATTAATTCTACTGATTGTAAAAATATTTTATAGTGGCTCTTTATTTGTTTCATTTTCAATGATAAATAATCTTTACATATCTTACGAAGATTATTCTCGGTTTTCGAACAGAAAGTTTTTAAACAATTTTTTTTATTATTTCAGAACGTTATTCTATTCTACAGTAGAGAACGTTGTTTGTACGTAGTAGGACAGTACGTTAGAACGTTGTTTGTACGTAGTAGGACAGTACGTTAGAACGTTGTTTGTACGTAGTAGGACAGTACGTTAAAATATACCTAAAATAATTATTTTACATGCTTTAAATAGCAATTTAAAATCTCTACATAAGCGATATGTTGTCAGTTAAACTATTATAGAACCGAGAGAGAGAGGAAAGGGGGTTCGCTGCGGGAAGGAAGCTGGATCGTGATGAAACTTAGGAAAGTTAAAAACAAAAGTGGGTTCGATACCGATAGCTTCTGTAGGAGACAAGCTCAATTATGTTGTAATTAATTGTTAATTAACAACATGATAGGGCCATCAGACCCGCTCTTATTGAATATAGTGGCAAACTAAACTAATTTAAATGTTAACCTATAATGACAACAAACTCTAACCTAACCTCTTGATAAAATAACCAGATCACCTTGTTGAAATAAGTGACAGAAGCCGACAAGCTGACAGTTTTGTTCAAGCTTATGAAAGAGTAGTACGGATAACATGGCAAAGGTTCTCAGTGGGGGCCTGTTCCCCTTTACATTCACTTTCTATAATCTTCAGAATAATACTACAGCTTTAGTGTTAATCTACATTATAGTTAGTTTTCCTTAACTCAAATATTAATGAATTAATTAATCCAATATTTGTATTTGATGCAGAGGATATCATTAATATCTTTCCAAACATTAATATCGCCGCAGACTCGTCATCTGTATATATTCATGACATCGTTGTAATGTGACGTAATTCAGATGGAACTTCTTAAGACAAAATTAGTTGCATATTCGACCGCAAGGGCTTCAATTTTGATAGTAATTCTATATCAAAAGGATATATTGTTTTAAGTAAACAATGGTTAAAAAAGAAAGTGCCGTCGTCAAAAAGTATCATATCATATCGTCAGAGCATTATCTAAAGTAATGCAGTTTTCAATACTATAAAGAAATGGCGTTTAGTACGTAATTGAAATGTAAGGTAATATACAGTAATAAAAATAGCTTAGGTACCAGATGAACTATAGCAATCAACACGATCTACTTAAATCCTTTTTAAACAGGTTAGTCTTTCGGATGAACGCATGGTATTTATGCGTGGAGTAAAGCCATCAACAGAGGGACTGTTTCGTTGTGAAGTCTCAGCTGACGCTCCATCATTTCAGACAGTGTCAGCGCAAAAATATATGATAGTGAAAGGTAAGATAATAATATCTCTAATATCTGATATACTATTAACGTAATATGAGTTGAATAAGGAGCCCTAAAATTGTATTGTGTGTTTATTTTCTGTCACAAAATAGAAGCAAACAAATAAGTAATTGAATATCGAATCTATAATACTAACAAACAATGTAGTAGATTAATAAAAAAATACATTTGATGCGGTTTCTAATAATAAAACACCTTTATATGAGAGTGTAAATAATAAACTACCCAGTTTGTGGTTTTCACATCGCCAAAATATTTGTAAATACGGATAAAGACAACCTAACAGGGTAACTAGATTTGCAAGTTAAGAAGACATCGCAACAGGATAATTAGATTTCCAAGTACGACTCTAAAAAATGTTGGATTTTCTGCGATATACAGAAGCCTAAATGCGCACGCTTTTTCTTATTACAAACGATTAAAAGCTAACTAGTATACTAGGAAAGCACTTTTGGTTTCTATTGGTTCATGTTCGTACTTGTTTTATTAAAAGCTAACTAGTATACTAGGAAAGCACTTTCGGTTTCTACTGGTTCATGTTCGTACTTGATTTATTAAAAGCTAACTATATACTAGGAAAGCACTTTCGGTTTCTATTGGTTCATGTTCGTACTTGTTTTATTAAAAGCTAACTAGTATACTAGGAAAGCACTTTCGGTTTCTACTGGTTCATGTTCGTACTTGATTTATTAAAAGCTAACTAGTATACTAAAAAAGCACTTTCGGTTCATGCTCGTACTTGATTTAAGCTTAAAAACTGCTAGATATTCAAATCGGTATGGATAATTATAATCACACCAAATTCACATAGCTGATGGAGTTAGCTGGAGATTATTAGATTATCTTCACGTTTAATGCCTAGTTCCTTTATCAGGTATACCCTAAGTAACTGTGAAATGTTCATATTGCTCAAAAAGTGTCTGCCTAATTTTGTTCATTAAATAAGTGAAAATGATCCAGAGTCTGCCTACTTTTGTCCTTTAAGATATACGAAAACGAACTATAATCTGCCTACTTTTGTCCTTTAAGATATACGAAAACGAACTAGAATCGGCCTACTTTTGTCCTTTAAGATATACGAAAACGAACTAGAATCTGCCTACTTTTGTCCTTTAAGATATACGAAAACGAACTAGAATCTGCCTACTTTTGTCCTTTAAGATATACGAAAACGAACTAGAATCGGGCTACTTTTGTCCTTTAAGATATACGAAAACGAACTAGAATCTGCCTACTTTTGACTTTTAAGATAAGTGACAACGATCCAGAGTCTGCCTACTTTTGACTTTTAAGATAAGTGAAAACGAACTAGAATCTGCCTACTTTTGACTTTTAAGATAAGTGAAAACGATCCAGAGTCTGCCTACTTTTGTCCATTAAGATAAGTGAAAATGATCCAGAATCTGCCTACTTTTGTTTTTTAAAATAAATGCAAATTACCTAGATACTTTCCAGGTATTAGTATTACAGTATTAGAGAAGTTATAGCTAAAGACAAATATTTGAGAATAAAATGGTGTCTGCCTCGAATTCTGTGTAATTATGATGCAACAAAGGAAGGGGTGTTGGTTCAAAAAGTGTAAACCAATTTAAGTGTTATTCTCCTCCTTGAGACTAAATCTTTAAACGGAAAAGGTAAAACGTTCCTTTAGTCAAGGAATACATACAAAAGTACTAAAAGCAAAAGATAACCGTTCCTTTAATGCATACACAAATACTAAATATGAAGGTCAACCGTTCCTATAATGCATACACAAGTACTAAATATCAAGGTCAACCGTTCCTTTAATGCATACACAAGTACTAAATATGAAGGATAACCGTTCCTTTAATGCATACAAAAAGTACTAAATATGAAGGTCAACCGTTCCTTTAATGCATACACAAGTACTAAATATGAAGGATAACCGTTCTTTTAATGCATACAAAAAGTACTAAATATGAAGGTCAACCGTTCCTATAATACATAGACAAGTACTAAATATGAAAGTCAAAAAATATTTAGGTTCGTAAAGTCAAGTTCTTCATTTTATAATAGTTTAAAACAAAGACTGGTGTTGGTGGTTTCATTCAATCGTCGTTACAAAATATTTTTTCAGTAACTTATTATTAATCGTAAAAGAACAAAGACGTATCGAAACCATAATTCGCACATCATGAGTTTTACGTGAATGAAAATCATGTACGTGCAGAGAGTTGTGTAACAAAATGAGTATTATAACTGCCTTCTATTATTAGGCTTCTCAATTCAGAGGGATAGGAATTCTACACGAACACATATAGTAGTCAGGTTACAAAATGCACCACATGTAATGTTTTGTATAAATTGACCATTTCGTTGGTGTGGCTCGTATTATATTGACTTCTTTATGTCTTCTGGCTTAAGTAGGTGGTAGTAACGCATTGAAAAAATATTTTCGAGAACGCGAGTTGGAACTACGTACGTTTAATACCCAATACAAACGTTCGTTTAACAAGCTGTGGGTCTCCACTTTATTGTATCCAGAATATTATCTCGTAACTTTGAACTTCAGTCTGTATATGTATTGTTATATAAAATCGTACTTCAGTTTCAAATCTTGCAAAAACTTTATTTCAAAATGTATTTCCTCCATATTACTAAAACTTCTTCAAAGCTTCCCCATGTTACTAAAACTTCTTCAAAGCTTCCTCCATATTGCTAAAACTTCTTCAAAACTTCTCATATTACTAAAACTTCTTCAAAGCTTCCCCATGTTACTAAAACTTCTTCAAAGCTTCCCCATGTTACTAAAACTTCTTCAAAGCTTCCCCATGTTACTAAAACTTCTTCAAAACTTCTCATATTACTAAAACTTCTTCAAATTTCCTCCACAATACAAAACTTCTTCAAAGCTTCTCCGTGTAACTAAAACTTATTCAAAATTTCTCATATTACTAGAACTTCTTCAAAACTTCCTCCATATTGCTAAAACTTCTTCAAAGCTTCCCCATGTTACTAAAACTTCTTCAAACTTCCTCCACAATACAAAACTTCTTCAAAGCTTCTCCGTGTAACTAAAACGTTTTTCAAAACTTCTCATATTACTAAAACTTCTTCAAAGCTTCCCCATGTTACTAAAACTTCTTCAAACTTCCTCATGTTATTAAAACTTCTTCAAAATTTCTCATATTACTAAAACTTCTTCAAAACTTCCTCCATATTATTAAAACTTTTCAAATGTTACCCCATATTACTAAAACTTCTTCAAAGTTCTGGTGGTTTTAGAGTTATTTTTCCACTACTTCGCCCCCTGTTGATGGACCTTCACCAAATTTGGTATGGAGGTTTGTTGGGTCCATGCGGAGATACATACAAATTTTCAGTTTTGCATTTTGCGTTTTTATGGGCGTTTTCGCGTTTGTAACCACAACTTCGCCCCCTTTTCTTGGATCTTCACCAAATTTGGCATGCACGTTTGTTGGATCCATGCGGAGATACATGCAAACTTGCGGTTTCACATTTTTTATGGGCGTTTTTTTACAATTACATATAAGGGAAGCAACTTTTCATGTCCTAAGATAACCTTTCAATAATCATGAATATACATAACTTCCGTCCAGGGAACGAATACTCCAGCTAAGTTGGTAATAAAGTGATAAAAACACATGTAACAAGGCACGTTGTATATCACACAAAGGGCTACAAGGGTTGTTCCCACCGAAGAGATCGAATCCCAAATTTTTGCGGTATAAGCCTTCAATCTTAACACCGACAGAGAGGGGTCGACTTATTGAGAACAAGACATTTATTCATATGGTGGGCAGTTACTGTCTGTTTCTATTACGTTTATATAATACATTTATTAACATTAAAATCCATTGTGAAACCTCTAATTAAAAATATTGTAGTGACAGACCACAAACTGACACATTGCATTTATATACATTACTTTCACCAGCGGATGGTTTTTGAAGATATACATGTTTATTCAATGTTATTAAAGCTTTCGAGACTTGCGTGTTTTATTGCATGAAGCTAGCTAAATGTACACCTCGTTTTCAATATATATAATTCATCTCAATAAATATTGATGGAAGATTAAGATTTAATAGCATTTTTCTGACTGAATATTGGTTATCGAAAGCTTCTGACGCAAGACTAGAAATGTAACCAACTTAGCTTACACTACAAACGTGACGTAGTGCGGATTTGTTGTCCAGTTTACAGGAAACCATGGCAATAAACCAAGAATGAAGTTTTATGACTTCTTGACTGTTAATAATAGTATTACAAACCACGAGCAATATTTCTGACTCACTGGATTCGTTGAGTCAATACAATGAATGTCTGTGTCGGTCTTCTTTTAAAGCAAGAAGCGAAAACTAGTTTAAAAAAATTACTTTGAAAATAATTAGATCAAGGAACTTGTTCTTTTATATTATATCCCTAACATTCGTGTCTTTACAAACCGTGGTTTCACACAGCAGTTTTAATTTTGTTGCAAAACTGAAATTTTAATTAAAAAATAATGAACAAATTTCAAAGCATTTGTTATTTAATCAAGGTTATTGAACTACAACTATTACAGTTACCGCTAAGTTACTAATAACTTGTAGAAGTGTCGGTTTGTTTTTGTCTAAAGTTATTTTTTAAGGTAGTTTGGTGTTTAGTACTACAAGTTTGTAAGTGATTTGGTGTTTAGTACTACAAGTTTGTAAGTGGTTTGACTTTTAATACTACAAACTTGTAGGTGGTTTGATGTTTATTACTACAATTTTGTAAGTGTTTTGATGTTTAGTATTACAAGTTTGTAAGTGGTTTGGTGTTTATTACTACAATTTTGTAAGAAGTTTGCTGTTTAGTACTACACATTTGTAAGTGGTTTGATGTTTAGTATTATAAGTCTGTAAGTGTTTTGATGTTTAGTATTACAAGTTTGTAAGTGGTTTGGTGTTTATTACTACAATTTAGTAAGTGGTTTGATGTTTATTACTACAAGTTTGTAATTGTGCTAATAATGCTTGGAG